AATGCAAGCAGCTTTCACAGTGTATTTATATGATTAAAAAAAAAAAGACACCTTACATACTGTTAAGACAACATTTTGTAACAAGTTACTGTTGCTTACATATTGTCTTCAACTCTGACATGCTTGCTCATATTTTTAGAGCAAGTTACAAAACCACAGAGAAAATAAGTCTTATCTCTTGGAAAATCCCTCTCTGTTTTGTAGATCTTCAATTACATTTGCTAAAAAATGAGGATATATTTTCTCCCCAAAAGATATCCTGATTTTAATGGATAAACTGAATTCGACGCATATCTAAGTGATTTAAATTTCCTTCAGTTGTTCCAAAGCAAAGCTGTCCTGATATTTTCTACAAGACATCAGAAATATACCTACGTGAACTAAAGATTTTACAAATTTTGGAGCCTTCTGGAGGGTCCCAGTATTTCCAGCTGCTTCCTAGATGGATGCTTATGTGCATAGCACTAGGGTTGGCTGGAGTTTTCAGGACTGATTTCTCTTGCATCTTCCCCAGCCCAGTGAAGGGCTTGAGAAGGGAGTGCAAAGAGTAGAGGTGCTGCACCGCTCCTTTCCAAGGTCTAAGCAGCTGTTTTTCTGCCAGAAGGGCTGAGGGCTCTATATGGGCTAGCAGTGGGGCTAGAGTTTCCACAAAGAGACAGGGACTAAAGCCCTATTTACGGAATTTAATAAAATCATGCATTAATCACATTCATTTTTTCCAATCCTTTGCATTTTTCCTTCCAACATTATGAAATACTAACTGACTTACTCACGCTACTTTTTACTACTTTGTTAGCACTTCATTCTCATGTTTTAAATAGTTTGGGGTTTTATTGCACTCTTATAAAAATACTTTCAGATTGGGGAAAGCGGTTTGTAAACTGTCATTTAACATCTTCCAGCCTGGCTTCAAATGATCCTCTCCTTTATTTCAAGAGTGCTGGGGTCTAGCACAATTCAGAGCTCCCTGTTATGGTCATGTACTTTCTCTTCACCTCCTTTCAACGTTGAAGAGATTTATTTTTGTTTAGTTTTTTATCTCCATTCAAACTGAGAGTACTATTATTAAGATGCATTTGGAGAGCAGAATTCTACTCTTTCCTGTTTATTTTTGGCTTTTAGCTAACTATGCTTGATAATTACATGTAACCACTTCACTTTGTAATATATTCCCCATATTTCCCTTCCAGCTGACCTAACACTTTCATACAGTAACATACTACAAAGTTCACTAACCCTTTTTTATCTGGAGGCATAATTGGGATTCTGTGTTCATGAATCTCTGAAGTCCACATCAATCCTTCTAAGCAAACTTCCTTTCAAATGCAGATAGAGTACTTTTTCTGAACTCCATGAAAAAAAGCTCCTTTGCTCCTTTTATATGTGCTTTATGATATGTTTCATAATTTTAAATGGTGAGAAATACTCATGCTTAAAATTCATGGTCTTTAAAATCAGTTTTGCATTCATGTTCAACAGTGGGTGAATCAGAGTTGACCTGCCTGTTAAAGGACTGTGAATATAATTCTGTCCTGAATCCTGTGCAAACCTCTTTTGTGGCAGCTTCTTTCACTCAAGGTTTACTGTGTTTGGCTGTATGGGGTGGCTTTCTTCCCCGCTGCAGGTTAATGTTAGGCAATAAAGGCACATGCATAACCGGGAGGTCTCTCAGGCATGTGTGTCACATGTACACATGGATGCATGCCATCCCAATTAGCATGTGCAGGAGTTCTGGACTGTGATGCTCTGCAGATCTGTCACCAGTAACACCCACTTGAGGAGACTTGTGCCTCTGACAGCCTCTCAGCCATTTCCACATAAATGCTCTTATGGCTTGGGAAACTAACTGAAGTTAGGCATCAGCTAAGGTACAAAAAAAAAAAAAAAGAGAAAGACACAGTCTGTTTTTGCACACAGCCCAGGTGATCTCCTGGCCTCACCTAGCAAGCATACCTAAAGCTTGGGATGTGAGCCTGAGCAACTGCTTTTGCATGCCAGCTGCTTCAACTAGCTGCTCAAACTGTGCTGCTGTTTACCTCGAATTAAGAACCATCTAGTGACAACTCAGGGCACAGACACTCTGTGGTCTAAGGCCCTGATCCAGAAAAGCATTTAAGTGCATGCTTGTTTACCCTTTCTGTACAATGTTCATAAGCACATGCTTAGATGTAAGGACATTTTGAAGGCCTATTGAAATAATTTTGCAAGGGACTGGGATAAACAAATCCAATTTCTCCAGAAAGAAATTTGTTAAATAAAAATGTTGTGTTTATCTCTTAGATTTCTGCTAATAGAATAGGGTGTGGCTTTCTACTGAAATGTCACAGTGCAAGTAAAAATTACTTTGGAAGTCTCTTTAAAACGCGGCCTTCTCATTCCCTATTTTTCATTAGCAATTCACCACAAAAAATGCATTTCCCACCAATTCAAAAATAAGGCCAAGCAGCATGTTAATCTGCATTGCCTGCAATTGCCATGTGCTGTATTTCAAAAAGCACTGTTACAAATTTTGCTACTTTAAAACAAAAGCAAACCAAATGGTCACACAGAAGATACCTAATTGGTTTGCCAGCACATCTCTCTGCCATGAAAAATTTATTCTCTCTAGATTGATCAGGGTATTGTTGAATGCTTGACTATCTGTGACCGGTGGGAAAACTCACTATTTGATGCTCCAGTGTTGAATCAGGGTTCTTTTTTTGGAGGGCAGATAAAGAAAGAGGTACCACCTGCACTTCTTGCTCTGATTGTTACAGGAGTACCTGAATGGCTGGCAAAATGCTAGTTGTACTTTTCCCTGCTGAAAGAAAAAAAAAAGTAATAATTAAAATATCCTTGGTCATATAATGCTCTTTGCTCTAAATTGTTGGCATGACCTAACAAAAGAAGATGCACTTCATGTATTACTTCAGAAAAATTTGCCTCATCAAAATCCACAAGATTCAGATATATAGCAATGCACATAAAAGAAGGAAAAACAATTAAGGGTTTTGGCTCTGCCTACTTTCTTCTGGAGGCAGTTAATTTTCACCAAAAAAAACAGACAAAAGTAAAGAATGATACCTTTTCTTTCTTTGAGCTGATGGGAAATTTGCCATTGACTCTAAACCAGAATTTTACCTTGGGACAGATATCTGGATCTCGGGGGTAGAAAAAGATGTGTTTAGAAGTAAGAACATAGGAAAGCTAAAGAGACAGTGACTATCTGAGTCTGCAAACAGCCAGAAATGCTTTCTTGTGTTGCTTTGTTCATTGTATTTTCACATACACGCTTTGGAAGGAAGGGTCCACATTAATAAAGAAATTATAGTGGTCTTTTAAGACCATCTTTATTTACTCTGTGTACTAAGCCCAAAGGTAGGTCAGGACCACCAGCAACTAAAAAAGCACAAACCAAAAAACCTAATCAGAAGAAAGCCCCTCAGAACAGTGAGCATAATGGTCACTACTAAGGTAGAAATTGTAAAAATTACTGGATAGTATATATGACTAATTATATTAATATTGCTAATATAATAGCATATATTACTAATATAATTAGTATTACATTACTAATAGAATTATACTGTAATATATATTACACTTATATATAATTAATATAATTATATATAATTATGCTGACAAAATATGGAAAAATTCATCATAGAGAATGAGCTGCATAAAAGTAATATCTTATTCTTCTACTTAAACAAAAAGATACTGCTTCGTAGACTGACATGCCTTTTACCTTTCATTTGTGCTCTATTGTCTTGTTATTTAAGGCTTCAACAGATTTTTGCTTTGTTGTTGGGAAGTATTTAATTAAAACAAGTAAGAATGACCAAGAAGGATTGTTCCATACAATAATGCCACACACCTTAATGAGCCACAGATTGTTAGGATTTTAACTTTAAAGGTTTACCCAGTTTAAGCCTTAAAAGTAGTAACAGTTTTGCTATATATCAATTGTTTACGCATGCTGTAATAAAATTATCAGACTACTGAATATTTTGAGCACTATGAAAGCTCATTCTTTTAATTTGCACTGGATTAAAACCTGGTGCATTTCTGGCTTTTCTCAATATTTTTAAGACTGTTTTAGCAGCAAGGTGTACTTTTGTGAAGATTTAAACACTAGCCTCCTCGGCTGGGACAGCTGAATTTCACTGTTAGAGACTGATAAATTCTTCAGCGTATTTTTGATCATGTAAGGATCACACTTGGAGCACGGTACTAATAATACCAAGGTCACAGGCTTGATCCCTGTATAGGCCATTCACAGAAAAATTGGAATGTTCTGAATATTACATATATATATATATATATATATATACAGAATATACTGGTGATGCTGTGAACACTGCTTATGAGAGCACACTGGACGCACAACTTTGGAATGGCCGCCCATGAAACAAGAATGAGTCAAAATAATTCAAGCCAATGGTCAATATAGAAGCTTGTGAAGAATCACAGTATTCCATTTTACATTCTCCTAAAGAGAGCAGTAGGAAGGGCAGGGACACAGGCGGGCTGGCCCAGGGCGGACAGTGCCGCGGTGCTGCGTTCCCTGCGGGCCCGGGCGCGGCGCGCTCGCCGCGGGCTGCGGGACGGGGGCGCGGCCGCCCCGGCCCCTCGGGGCCCGGAGAGGTCCCAGCGTGGCACTGCCCGGCCGGAGGCTGCCGCGGGACCCCCCCGCTGCCGCCCCACCGCCCGCCTCCGCTGCGACGGGCCCCGCGCCCTCCCCTTCCTCCCCCCGCCCCGCAGGGGACCTTTTAAGAGGAGGGGGCAGAGGCTGGAGGGCTTGGCCGGGGGACGGGGCTGCTCCTGCGGGAGCTCTGGGATTTAATCGGACGGCCAAAACCGAAAACGTCCAAAAAAAAAAAAAAAAGAAAAGAAAAAAAGAAAAGAAAGAAAGAAAGAAAAGAAATAAATAAAACAGGAGGTGTGGAAGCACGGAAAGGTGGGGGGACAAAACAGGAACCGCAGGGGGACGCGGTCCGCAGGCTGCGCGCAGCGCGGGGATGGTGCGCCCCGGCGGGTTGTGCCGCCCGCTGCTGCTGCTACTGCTGCTGCTGCTGCTGCTGCAGGGCTCCCTCCTCCTGCTGGCCACAGCCCCGCACGGCCGCGCCGCCGCCTGCCCGCTCCGCAGAAAGGTAAGCGCCCCGCGGTGCCCTCCTGACTCGGGGTGCCCTCCTGCCCGGGGGCGCCGCCGTCCGCCCGGCCCCGGCCCGCCCCGGCAGCGCGGGGGAGGCGGGTTTGCGCCCCTCGGGGTGCGGTGATGGAACGGGTTGGCGTGCGGGCCCCCGGCCGAGGCTGAGTCCCCTCTGTCCGGCGGGCGCGCTGCGCCCAGCTCGGGCGGCAAGCGCTCGGCAGCGGCTCCGCGGCTTGGCGGGACTGCGAGACAGGGTGCTGGGACCCTGCATGGGGGAGGAGGAGCCTGGGGTGAGCCCCAGTAGGATCTTTTGCCTGCAGTGAGTAGGACGAGCTGCGCTGCTCGCCAGAAGACAGACTGCCCCGGCGTGACTTGCTAACACCATCCCGCGCAGGGTTACCGCCTAGTCCCACTTCAGAACGCCGAGCGTGCTGGAAGAGGTTCGGACCAGCAAATGGCCTTTTGGCGTGAAAACGCGGCCACACGTTATGTTAGGTTTTGCTTGTCTCCTAAACTTAGCAGCTTGACTGCAGTAGCAAGGAGCAGCATGCGCTGACTTAGCTCCAGTGGGTAGTTAGCACAGCAGAGGATCCCTGCTGCAAGTTAGGGCTGATGTTACAGCTGCTATAAAGCTGGTGCAGACGATGTCTGTCATTTCCATGAAAGATCAGAAAAAGTCATTCTTATTGAAGCTTGAAGCTTCTGATACAAAAGTACCAAAAATCTTGTACGAAAAGCCTTCTTGAACTTACTTTGTGTTAACAGGCCATCTGTGCTGTCTGTTGGCATCTCCTTGAGCCTGACGTGATTGTGGGATATGTGTACAGCCACTTCACCTTCCTTCCCAGGCAGCTTTTAAGGAAACTGGAAGCCCTTAGAAGTAGGCTGGGGAGGTGCCAAGGCCACAGCAGGCTCACTGCAGGGTAGGCGTGAAAAAGTTTTGCAACTGAAGAAGGTCTGCTCTGTGACTTTACTCCGCTCTCTCACCTGGTCCTGCTACTACAGGTAGCCCTTGTTCTTGGGGGCCTTCCTGCCTCTGTGAGCATGCTGGTTCCCCAGAGTATCTTCTCCTAGGATTTAGGGCATTATGGAATCAGCCATATGCCAAGCTACATGGGCTTTGCTGGAGGTGTCTGCCTGAGCTTGAGTTAAAGAGAGCCTGGCCCTACCTTGTGGGATGGTGTCTTTACAATTTGCTTGGAACCAGTTTGTCAACTGGATTTGTAGGTGGCCAGCTGTGACACTGCCATAAAGCCAGGTCGACCCTTTGGAGTGGGTACCCCCTTCTCCTTGAGGGCATGAGGTGTTAAAGATGTGGGCCGGTATGAAACTACTACAAGGAGCTAGTGAGAGCAAGTACAAAGAGGACAGCTCCTGAGCAGAAGTCGTACTTGTGGAAATGGATAACTTCACAGATTGGGTGGGACATGCAGGAAGTTTTTTTCAGAAACAATTGACTGGACTTCTGCCAGTTGCTAGCAAGACTGGAGGTGAAATGTGTTAATGGTAGGTAATTATCTGCTGATTACGCTGTCATTAAAATGTGAGACCACCTGTAGTTCTGGAATAGGCAGGCCGTTTCCGAGGGTCATTTAGGACAGTGGTAATAACCACACTGTCTAGGAATGGCAGTGTCTGCCTTATTTACAAAACGGTTGAGTTTATCCTTATGAATATTTACATGAACTCCTTAGGGAAAATATACTGTCTTGTTCCTGCATCACCACGGATGGGTTTTTAATTTACTTTAGTTCTTTATAGGATTCCTTCTCTCACCTCTCTTAGACAGGTCTAACTTCGTTCTTTTTGTTAGGTTGCCTCAGTCTCTGCCATAAGAGATGTGCGTTGTTGCCTGAAAAGCTTCTATTTTAAGGAACGAACCTACAGTATTTCAGAAGGCTTTCTCATCATGACTCAAAATTATAGTTAGATCTACAACCAATAATGTACCTAATCATCCTCCCCCCACTCAAAAAAAATTGAAAAAAACCCATTGAAAACAATTAATTTAAAATAAACTATGCTGGAATCTTTTTGGGTTGTATCCATATACTAAGTAATGGGGTCTGGTACTGCTTTCTTTTTGCTTAGCATTGGAGTGTATTGGAAAAATCAAAGCCAGAAATCACAGATTAATTGTGGAATACTTGTAGTTGTAGTTGGTTAGCATTTTATGATGTCTTGTTCCTGACAGAGGGCCAATTAATTTATATGGCTGCTTTTCCCCATATATGCCCTTCAGCAGAACAAGTCATATGTCTGTTCTTAACCTGTGGCTTTTTAGTTAAAAACTTTATTTTTCATTCCTGGCACTTTGGATGTGTTCTTTTAGCAGCTGTAGCCAGTGCAGTGTTTATTCCTCAGGTGAGTTTTACTTTCAGTCTTAAGCTGAGTTTGAGAGTGTCAGTAATGCAAGTGGGCAAAAGCTCAGTATGAGTACTATTAAAAATGTCTTAACATTTTTGTGTGCATTACCATAGTTGCATAGGCATGTAATGTGGCAAGTAAAATCTTTGCCCCAATTAGGTATAAAGGAACATGACAAGATAGGATGCCAGGATAGATAAGAGAGAGGGAGAAACCCATAATAGGTAGGGTTATAAGGCTGCCTGCCTGGGTGAAATATTGCATGCCATGTGGTTTGGCTTCTGTAGCTAGCAGGAGAATACTGTGGATTGAGAAACAGTCCAGTTCTGGGCTGAGGTTTGGAAGGTGTGGTTGTGAGGTCAGGTGGTGAATATTAGGGGTCCTGAAAGACAGTGAAGCCACAGAGGGCACCTACCTGCACAGTGAGGTATGCACTTTGTGCTTTGAAATGCATAGTCTACACAGATGAGATAGAAGATGGAAGGAAGCAGCTCATGTAGAAGGAAGCAGACCAAGTGTAGGTTGTCCATGTCTGGAGTTCTCATCCAATTCTTCAGTTTCTAGACTGTTTTCCTTTCCCTCTGAGTCTTCATTCCCTGCACAGACAGTCTTCTGTCTATGCTTTTCTGTTTAGCTTTTTATACTCTCATGCTTTTCCAGATGTTTGGAGGGCTTTCACTAGATAAATTCTTTGTTCCTCCTGGTGCTTTTCTGGATTGTTTTCTGGATATTTGCCATTTTTACTCTTGTTAGTATGTAATTCAGCCCAATTTGAGATAGTTTCTGTGAGGGGAGAAAAAAAAAAAGACACTTTCTCTGATTTTCTTTGGCATTTCTCTTCCAGAAGAATCATTGCTGCCTCACTTGAAGTAATGTGTGATATCTGACAAATGCAGTAGTATTTGTGTATTTGAAGACTACTGGTTGTATCCTATAATGGATCTCTAAATAGTGCTGGAAAAGCAAGCTGTTGGTGCTAGTTAAAATGAATAAAATCTGAGGCTTGGGGTGTTTTAATCAAAAGGAGGAACCTCAGCTCCCAAGGAAGTACTCATGCATTTGCAGAATTTTTGCAGTGACTGACACTGTTGTCCTGTCATGTTGGGGAGGTGTTGTCTGTCCCTGTGTGCCCCATTGCAACTCAATGGACAGTGGAGTTTGTCCCCTGTGCAGCCTTGGTTGGGAAAGGAGGCTTTCCAAGTCTTGTGGTAGGGAGTGGATCCCACAAGTCCCAGTGTGTTCTCTGTGACTGTTTAAGCTTTGTCACCTGGGGAGGTAAGGCAGAGGAGAAGGCACTATGCTGTAGTGCTGAGCATTCAGAAATACCTTGATCTGATGATTCCTTGGACCTTTGTGTGGCAGCGAGTTGGGAGACCTGTGTTCTCTTGTGAGACTGCCGCTCTTTCCCTTGCTCAGGGTTTTTCATGTGACGAGTAATGCATTGACTACCACCTGTAAATTGTAGAGTGGAGACAGAAATATGTATCTATGCATCTTGAGCTATTCATGAACCTTTTTTGTTGTTACGCTGCTGCAACTGAAATTCCTCAAGCTGCACAGCCCAGCTGCCATAAGCCTCCAGGACAACACTTTGACTGTAATTTGTTTGTTTTAAAGCAACTTTTTTTGTTGCAACAGCTGAGTTAAAGGATCTTACTGCAAATGAAAATTGGGCTGTAGCACTTTTGTCTCCTGCACGCTCTCAGGGAGGCGAGGTGCTGTGGTGATGGTGTATGGTGTGATGCTGAGCAAGCCTGGGCACCACTCCTGTGCTATTTCATGGCTACCTAGAGCACTGCTAACAGCTGCCCTTTTATGGTGTTGGGGTGAGATTATATCCTTGCTTTTCCCTCTCTGAGGCTGCATTGAGACATGCAAGAGGTCCAGGAGGTCTGCAGGGAGATGGGAGTGCCTGAAGGTACAGCAGGGGAAGAAGGCAGGCCTGCTCAGGCACACCGAGGGCTTTGCCCCTTGCCACTCGCACAGAGCAGTAACAGGAGGCTGTTTGCAGGGGTCTGGCACAGATGCAGAGCACTGCTGGGATTCCAGTCCCCACTTTGGAAGGAAAAGGAGATGCCAAAGGAGTGTGAGGCACTAGCCTGTCTGGAGCAGCTGCAGTGCCACCTTTGAGAGGGAGAGTGAGCTTTGGGAGCTCCCTGTATACCATCACTTGATGATGACAAACTGCTGGTGCTCAGAAACTGATTCTGCAGGGTCTGGGGAGCTTCCCATCAGTGGTGGGACACTGAGGTTTTCTGTCCTCTCATGCTGGCTCCAAGCTTTCTGTGGAGATCTGAGTGGTGCTTAGGGTGATTTTTCAAGTTCATGACTACTCGTTTTGACATGCAAGTGCCAGCAAGAGTGCTCAGCTGCTTTGCTTTGTAATGTCAGGGTCTCGAGAACTGTGTGAAAATTTTTTGCTGTGTCTCAACCTGCTTTCCTTCTGCCTGTGCTACAGGCTCTTTAAAGGAAGACTTCATGTACTCTGTGCCTGATGGCCTGTTTTATTTCTTCAGAGGTATGACTGGTACCAGGCAGTATTACCCTGCTTTCAGTATCCAATTATGAAAGTTGTGGGGATAAGGAAATTAAAAAAAAAGAGTATAATGCCAAAAGCCTTTCTAGCTGGGCTGTGTGCAGTAGTTCAGAGTAGTGCTAATGATCATGTTGAAATCTGGTACCAGTCATCTGGGCTTGAGCGTTCTGGCTGGATTTATTGAGGAGCTGAAAAGCTGGCAGGTGATCGCTTGTTCTGTAGGATTCCTTGCAGTTGTGGCTGGTTTTGTGCACTCCCACCTACACGATCAGACCTGTGTGAAGAGAAGAATTATTGACCTCCTAACCTCATGCCTGTGCCAGGTGCCTCCTCTGTCTTTATACTTGCTGTAGATAGAAAGCAGCACTTCTGGTCCTTCCTCCTTGCTGCCTGACCACTACTTCCAGTTCATTTCTCACCAGTGGCATGCCCTTTCATTTTCCCCTTCTGACAACGTTGGGGGAGAATCCTCTCTCATTTCCCCTTTTGTTTTACTTTGCATATTCATTCTTCTGTATTCTTCCCTGGTCTGTGTTAGATTTTTATTCACCTGTTGTACTGTATCTTTGGTACCCCCTGGGCTCTTCCTGTTTCTTAACCCTTCTTCCTATGGTCTTGAGGAGAGTTTTTGTGCTCTGTAATTCAGGTGTGCATTCCAGGACTGTTCTGTAGGATTTGGAGTTGTAGGATAGAGTTGCCAGGATCTGAAGTATCCTTCAGACTCTTGATATGCTGCAGAACAGTCTGAAAAGCCCTTTGGAATATATTTGGTTTGTACAATGTTCTTGGGCACATGGTGCAGTTCTTGGGGCTCTCCCATGCAGCTCCAGGAGTTGAACTTCAATGATGCCTGTGTGTCCCTTTCAGCTCAGGATATTCTATATTCCATAGTCCATGCAGGTGAAGAGGACTGGTGGTAGCACTTTGCTGAAGTGCTGCCTGATCTGTGGCCTGGTTCTGATGTACAGAGCTGCTGGAGAAGGTTGTCTAGGATGAGCCATTGCAGAGCAGTCTTTAAGATTAACCTTTCTGACCCTGAGTCTTTAGTGTCAGAAGTTTATAGGCTATGTGCTTCCAGTAAATTCCTGCAAGCAGCCTGTTCTGCTTTTGGCAGTCAGGCAGGCTTCTTAGATCAGCACACATGCACAGTTAGCCCCAGTGCTGAGGTTAGAGTTATCTGCTGGCTCAAGACTGACCAGATGTTTGAGTGCATCTGGAAGCCTGTTCTCTTACTTAGACATGCAAAGGCTCCCTCTTCCTGTCTGTGCCGACAGACACCACTTGTATCCATTGTTCCAGTGAGTACTGTGGCACCAGTGAGGTGCTGTGGGTGATGAAGGCTGTGCCTGCTGCTGGTGTAAAGTGAATTGAAAGGATTCAAATTCAAGCAGGATCTGTGTTGTCCTATCTGCTCTTCTGTCCCGTGGGAACACCACAACCCTGTATTGAGGTATCTCAGGTGATGCTGTGAGGTGTATTTTCCAACAGAACAAATTTAAATCTGATTCTGACTTCCTGATGGCTGTGAGTTTTAAAAGGGTTTAAAAGCTAATTTTAAAAAAGATGGGTTTTTTTTATCCTCTGTGTTTACAAGTGGATACCCTGAAACCACGGGCCAAGTTTGGCCTGCATAAATTTTTTTTCATTTCTTTTCCAAGGTATTTCATGCTCTTCTCTGCTACTCAAGAAAGAGTACCGGGCCATTAGAGGTCTTTACTGGGTGTCTGTCTGCCATGAGCAAAATTTTATTTCTGCCTGTTCCAGCAGGTCTGCCTGCCAGCTGTGTTTTGTGTTATTCATTTTCTTGGTGTCTTGCTGTTGTGTTATAATCCCAGCTGTCAACCAAGCACCACACTCATTAAATTCCCATTCCATGCAAGAGAGGTTGCAAGAGAGCACTGGAAGGGTGAATTGTTGGGTTCAGATAATGACAACTTAATAGCTAAAGCAAAAGTCATGCACACAAGCAAAGCAAAACAAGACATTCATCCACCACTTCCCAGGGCAGGCAGGTGTTCAGCCATCCCCAGGAAAGCAGGCTCCATCACACGTAGCAGTGACTTGAGAAGACAAGCCCCATCATTCTGAATGTCCTCTCTCCTCTTCCCCCACCTCCCTGGCTTTTTGTGCTGAGTGTGATGCCATATGGTATGGAATATTGCTTTGGTCAGTTAGGGTCAGCTCTCCTGGCTATATCCCCTCCCAATATCTTGTGCACTCTCAGCATGCATGCTCACAGTCATTTGACAGGGAGAAAAGGCCTTGGCTCTGTGCAAGCACTACTCAGCATTAACAAAAACATCTCTATAGTATCAGCACTATTTTCAGCACAAATCCAAAACTCAGCCCCATACCAGCCACTGTGAAGAAAATGAACTCCACCCCAACCAAAACCAGCACAGTCAAATGGGAAATTCACCCATGATGCTGCACTACCTTCTGACTAAGCATCACAGCAGTTTCTTTGATGAAAGGTGCCTTGCTGTGCTGAAGTGAGAGATGAAAGTGATAGAAATCCTGCTATCCTGCTTTGCTACAGCAAGTGGTGCCAATTTTTGACTTGATGAAAGGCAGAAGTTGGGTAAGTGTTGTGCCTGAATCATGGTGTGCTAGGGCTGTGCTCTGCTGCTGCTTTTGGTAGATACCCTGATGATGTATCAGGTGATACTACTGTTGAGAAGACTCAGTGTTACCCTTCAGGAGGAGAAAGCCCAGGCCAATATTCTTATGTTTTTATTTCATGAAAATTGAATTTTTACCTCAGGACCTGAGAAAAACAATGGTCAAAGAGGACTTTATGTGAGCAAAGTCACTTTAGGAAAAGTCCATGCTGGCCAGCTGCTGAGCCAGGTGACCTGCTGGCTTGGCACCATGTTTTCCTTAAGCCCTATGCTGCAGTGGCCTGGCGTAAACCTGTGTACTTACTCAGCTGTGTCTCCCTCTCTCCCAGCAAAATGAGCTGAACTCCTTCCTGTGGACAATCAAGAGAGATCCCCCATCTTATTTCTTTGGCACCATCCATGTCCCATACACGCGTGTCTGGGATTTTATCCCAGAGAACTCCAAGAAAGCCTTCCAGCAGAGCCACATTGTGTACTTTGAGCTGGATCTCACTGACCCCTACACCATCTCAGCTCTCACCAGCTGCCAACTCCTGCCACAGGGGAAGAACCTCCAAGATGTGCTGCCCCGAGACCTCTACCGCCGGCTGAAGCGGCATCTGGAGTATGTCAAGCTCATGATGCCGTCCTGGATGACCCCAGACCAACGGGGCAAAGGGCTGTATGCAGACTACCTCTTCAATGCCATTGCTGGCAACTGGGAGCAGAAGAGGCCAGTGTGGGTGATGCTGATGGTGAACTCCCTGACAGAGGTAGACATCAAGTCACGAGGCGTGCCTGTCCTGGACCTGTTCCTGGCCCAGGAAGCGGAGCGGCTGAGGAAGCAAACAGGTGCTGTGGAGAAAGTAGAAGAGCAGTGCCACCCGCTCAATGGGCTGAACTTCTCCCAGGTGAGGTGGAGTGGTGTGCAGGGTGCCAGGCTAGCTTCTGAGCTAGATATCACAGCAGAAACAGCATGGGCTGGGGTGCGGGGTAAGTGCTTTCTACCCAGAGACTTGTGTCTGCTCCCTGCAGCCCGTGCCTTTGCCTGCATCCTCAGGAGAATTTGCTAGCACAGGATCAGGCCAGAGCTGAATTCATCCAGGCCTGGCCTACTCTCTTCCTTGGGCAACCTGTTCTCTTCCTTGGGCATGTTCTACCCTCAGAGACACTGGACCCCTTTGGATGTATGGTCTCTAACTCTGACTGGGCTGACCTGCAGGAGCTCAGGACAGGCTGGGGCTCAGTCTCCAAACTTGTTTTTGTAATAGCAAGTTTAAAAGAAAGAAGTGATTACTTGGGGAAAGCAGGGGTGCTGTGAGTAGTGCTGAGAAGTAATTGCTGGTTGGAAAGCATCACAGTGAATATTTTGATGCCCTCAGAAGTAGGGCCTCATCATTTGCAATGAGAAAAGTATTTTTTGTTTGTTGGGGGTTTTTTTCCCTTCCTTTTTTACCAGGCAAGGGACAGCACAGCACAGACTAGTATAGGCCCTGGTGCAAATGCCTTTGTGTTTGCAAACCTGTTGGAATTCAGCACTGCTGTTCATGCAGCAGAATGACCTCTGTGTTGTCCATGTGTTGGATGAGGTGCTCCTCTCTGAACCAAATACACCAAGCAGTGGTGTCTGCTGTTGTCTCTGCCCAGTGGGATCACAGGCATAACACTGCTCTCAGATGTGGGGTACCTTTGTTGCAGGGTGGTGCTAGTTTGGGGAGTTGAGTGGCATTTGCTTAGGAATAATCAAGACTTGCATTTTGCAATATGCCCTAGTAGCACAAGATGGGAGGACCTTTAGGGCTGGGGAGTTTGATGCCGGACCTTTCTCCCCTGCATCCTGAAGCCTCTGCTGTCACTGATGCACGGTTTGGAAGGGAAAGAGCAGAAGGCGAGTGCAGCGCAGCAAGGGCAGGGACAGCAGCCCAGGACAAATGTCTGAAGAGCTGCTACCCCAGACAGCATTGGTGTGGGGACCATGGTGCAGGGAATAGCACAACAGCCCAGGCTGCATCATTTGAGCAGTCCTTAACTGCAGGAAGGCCTTCTGCACTTCTCTTTCCAGATGCAACCTCATTTGCATCTCCAGTCTATTGCTTAACACGGTGCTTTGAATCCTTATGCTGTTGCTGTTTCCTTGCAGCTAACCTGGGAATAGGCTGGGAAGTCCCTCCTTTTCCAGCTCTTACCTGGCTGAGGATTTATAAGCATTATTGCCCATGTGTTTCTTTTGCTGGCATTGCCCCTGTAGTTTATCATGATAGAAGTGGGGGTGAGGGCATTTTTATCCACTGCCTTGTAAGAAAGTAGTAGGGAGACTGAGATATATTGACTGCAAATCATATCCCTGCTAAGCTCATGTAAATGTTGACTCTTAGGCCTTCACAGCTTTCTTCAAAGAGCAGGTGTTTTTTTGTTGTTTAGCAGATGGGATAAATACCAAGTGATCCAAGAAGCTGCATGGGCAAGGGACACAACAACATCCAAAATTGCCCAGCCTTCTGAGAAGGCCAGAGAGACAAAATTTGCAGGAGAATCTAGCCTCTAGTTGGGAAAATCATACCCTTTGGTTGCCCCATGGTGAGTGGAGGTGTGCATTTGCATCATGAAGGCTGCACCTCCTTCCCTCCCTGCTTACTTCCCAGGGAAGGAGCACACTATCCCTTGAGGGAGCAGGTCTGGAGCAGCTACTGCACTGCAAATTCATACCTCCACTGCTACCCACTACTAGATTTCCAATACAGGCAGCTCAAGGAAAAGGAATACCAGAGGCAGATGATTTTTGTGCTTCTAAGCCATTTCATGGCTGTTTCAGAAACTGACTTGTGAACTTTCATAGTTGGCAATTTGTGTAAGTCTTTGATTTCAGAGCTTTCTTGTCAGTTTTTTCAGACAGTAGAGTTAATTACGTGTTTAATAGAAACCAAACAAAGAGTTTGAACTAGGCTCTTTGGAAAACACTTTCTTTAGTGTGCTGCTGTTTGGAAAGCCCCAGTATTGGGCCACTTCTGTGCAAACACACAGACGTGACTTAGAAATTTCTGTTGGGGAAAGTGGAACAAAATCCATAAGGAGTAGTCTAACACTGTACAAGAAATATAGAATCACAGAATGATCTGACCTAGAAGGGACCTCAAAGATCACTCAGTTCCGTCCCCTCCACCATGGGCAGGGACACTCTTCACTAAGACCAGGTTGCTCAGAGCCCCATCCAACTTGGTTTCAAACACTTCCAGGGATGGGGCATCCACAGCTTCTCTGGGCAATCTGTGCCAGTGCCTTACCACTCTCACAGTAAAGAATTTCTTCCTAATATCTAATCTGAACCCACTCTCTTTCACTCTGAAGCCATTCCCCCTTGTCCCTTGTAAAAAGTCTTTCTTGTAGGCTTCCTTCCCATACTGGAAGGTGCATTATAGGTCACCCCAAAGCCTTCTCTTTTCCAGGCTGAACAATCCCAATTGTCTCGGCCTTTCCCTGTAGGAGAGGTGCTCCTTTCTTCTAATCCATCTTGGTGGCCTGCTCTGGATGTACTCCAACACATCCATGGTGCTGAGACCCCAGAGCTGGATGCAGGGTTCCAGGTGGGCTCTCAGCAGAGCAGAGCAGAGGGGCAGAATCCCCTCCCTCCCCTGCTGCCCACGCTGCTTTGGATGCAGCCCAGGACACGTTTGGCTCTCTGGGCTGGGAGTGCCCATGGCTGGGTCATGTCCAGCCTCTCACCCAGCAGCACCCCCAAATCCTTCTCCCCAGGGCTGCTCTCCATCTGCTCATGCCCAGCCTGTGCTGATTCTGGGGATGGTCCTGGCCCAGATGCAGCACCTTGCACTTAGTCTTGTTAAACTACATGAGATTCCCATGTACCCACTTGTCAAGTTTGTCCAGGACCCTCTGGATGTCATCTAGGGAGCTAGGGAGGTGCTTTTTTTCTTACAGCAGAATCACAGAGAAATTATTTACTTAGCAGAAAAGCAAGTTCAGTGTTTTCAGTTTGTTTCTGCATAGGGTTTGATTTTTCTTTCACATCCAAAATTATTCTTCTGGTGGTAAGGCAGACTCCTGAGCCACTTTCAAACCATACATTGTTACTGGCTAGGTCCCTGTTTTGATCCATTCTATTGAGCAAGGCCTTGATGGTGTATGTATGCAGGTGAAGGTCTGGAACAGTTTATTCTTGTCTCCCTGGGCACAATGCTCAGTAACTGCAAAGTACAGACAAACCCAAATTAGCAACTCTCTTCTCCTTGTGAAAACAGTAAAAATGAAAAAAAAAACCAAACAAAACCCACATACAACAGCCAAGAGTGCCTGTCAAGGGGCTCTTTTTCTTTGGACTTTTGTTCCAAAGACTCTTGGTTTATGACTCTCTTATTTTACCTGCCAAATCTCTCTGTTCATGCTCAGCTCAGGCTGCCTGCCCATATTGCCAAATCATAAAAGTATCATTTTTGTTCAGTACACAATGATGTGTACACAGTCTGTGAAATACTTTACTGCCTTCTCAATCTCTCTCTCTTGTTCCAAGTTCTGTGCAACTTCAGGAATATGGAAAGATTAGTTTGTCTCCATGCCAGGGCCATGGTGTTTATTTTTCCTCTTTCATGCTGTTCCCATCCTAGTTTGTCTCCCACTCCACCTTCTTTGCTGGGTAGTGCCTCTCTTGTTGCAATACCCTGTATAGGTCTCATTCCTAGCTGTGTCTGGGCCTTGTAGCTATGTATGATCTGACACTGCTGACTTCCAGCATGGAGTCAGTCCCTCCCAACTCTTCCTTTATAGTTATGCACGTGCTTACATGTTTGCTATATTGCAGGCATTAGTGCTCCAGCCCAAAACAGCTTTGCTGTTGGCTTCAGTAGTGTCACGAACATCAGCTTAGTACTGGCTCAGAAGAGGAGCAAGTGTTGGCCCTTGTACTGTGCCAGGCACTTGCTTTGGTACACTATGGTGGTACCCAGGGTGTATTCCTCACAAACTGGTCCCTGCTTGAACACAAGGAGGTTGGACTTATGTCTACTCTTTGTGTGGACCCATGGTTAAGAGTGTAAACACTGTCCAGCCATCACTACTTCCTAGCCACGACCCTGGCCAGTTTGGCTTTTTCAATACTAGGACCCTTGGTAGAAGATTCTTGTACCCGATCTTAATTTGAGAATTGTTTCTCCACATGACTTTCCTGTGGTTATACCTTGTCACAGCATTCTTCCTACCTGAGCACCTGAGTGTCTGATTACATTGCTGCATATTCAGACACAGTCTTCAGAGCTGCTTGGGATGCAGTAGGAAGCTGGGAGCCACTAAAGGCTGACTGATCAGGAAATCCTGGCTCCTGCTGCCCCTGTTCCAGCTGTGGGATTACAATTAACCCTTTACGTTGCCTGTCTGTGGGGACACCAACTACCGTCAGCAATGAAAGAGGCGGGAACGACTTAGGGTTGATTAGAAGCTCATTTATTAGAGCATCAGACATAATTGAATTTAGGAAGGGCAACCTCAGAAGACAAGATAGTGCAGAAGACATGCTAATATATACCCTTGACTATAGTTCTTCTGTGCCCTATCCAACTAATCAACAATTTTACTACCTTATATGGAAACATAGCTTACCAATCACTAACAATGTTACCTTATATGAAACTATGACATAGTCTTTATTAACATAACAATCCCACAATCCTCTATGCAAAACCCCTTAACAAGCTACTTAACGCACTTTACCTTAGCTTATTCAACTGTATATTTAATCAACATATAATATTATGTCATGCCTAAACTGGCAGGCTCTTTAGCTCAACAACAGCATCTATCTTGATGGTACCCACACAACTTTTCATACTGTGTCTAGACATTCTCTCTTTTCTGCACTTTGCATCCCATGGTTTTTAGGTTGATACCTTCTGCATAGTCAGCCTAA